TACATTCTGTGCAACTTACTACCTGTTAAGCCACTGACCGCTGTGCCCAAGGACTGATCCTGGAACTACTTTTACTGTGTATCTATCTTTTTCTTGGCTGCTTTCCATAGGCAGCAGATACTTTTTTTACGGCGGTTCTTCTTTTCTCGCTTTTTGCGGGTTCCCCGCATAGACAGGTGTGAATACATCGAAAACAAACCAAAGGTGATTTTGATGTGTTCTGTTGAACTTACTACCTGTTCGGTGATTATTACCTATAAGACTTCAAACCCCTTGCTCGCTACAACACTCTGTGATAAGACAAGGTTTACACTTGTAGGTGGAGCCAGAGGAACAGTAAGAATTTCGAATGATTAATGTAGGTAACATTTATCATGACAAATATGCTAGTGATACAATTATGAGGCTTACCAGCATAAGTAACACCGGTCAAGAGGCTTCTTTCGAGCGGTGGCGCCCACATTGACCACATTGTATGAAACGCTGGGAATATTGCACCCTGTGAAAATTAACATCAAAAACTTTTGGTTAAACAAATTTGATTTAAAGGTGATTTATTAAATTGCACGAAAACATGCACATATTTATACCGGGAATACCGAAATATAACCGGACTGATATCTCAGATTAATGATGTTACTAAAATACTTCCAGATGGCGGGTGCAGCTATGCCAGGACCATCGACTCGAGGCTGCGCACATCCAGTTAGTACTCACCACGTATCCTATTTACGTGAGGCCTCCCCTCCCTCTCCCCCCTCCCCGCCCTCCTCCTCCTCCCGCTTAAATAACACAATACTTGATATACTGCTTGCAATTAAGTATTTACATATTACTGAAATGTTATGAGCAAACTGGAATACTGTAAATTAAAAAAAAAAAAAAACGAAAATCTCTTATGTTTTTCCTGAAAAAGTGCATGTATTTTCATGGCAAAATTATTAATCGAAAATACCTGCATGAAGCCAAGAAGAGCACGTGCAGCGATAAATGCATAAACGCTAGTTGTTGCAGCCAGTGGACTGAACATCGTGAGAATAGAGCTGCCCAGAACTGTAACACCGATAACTAGCCTACCACCGTAACGACCAGCCAAGTAACCGCCAAGA